GTGTTACATTGCCTTCTCTCCTCTCCCTCTCTATCTCTCTCTCTCTCTCTCTGTCTCTCTGATCTACCACTTTCCTCTTCAAACAAAACCAAACCAATCCCACTTTAATTAGTGGATTCTGACTCATAGCTATCCCATAGGACAGAGTAGAACTGTCCATAGGTCTTCCAAGGCTACAAATTTTTATGGAAGCAGATTGTATCATCTTTCTCCCACAGAGGAGCTAGTGGTTTCAAACCACTGACCTTTTAGTTATCAGCCCAACACTTCAACCATAGCCCTACCAGAGCTCCTTCCCTCTTAAAACTCAAAACCAAACTCAATGCCATCAAATCAATTTTGATGCACAGTGACCCCCACTGGTTTCCAAGGCTATACATCTTTACAGAAGCAGACAGCCTCATCTCTCTTCCAAAGAGTGGCTAGTGGGTTCAAATCACCAACCTTTTGGTCAGCATGCAAATGCCTTAACCACTACACCACTAGGGCACCTTTCCTTCTTATAAAGACACCTGTAATTATATCAAAGAGGCCTGATGTCACAGTGGTTAAGTGTTCAGCTACTATCTGAAATGTCAGTACTTCAAATCTACCAGGTGTTCTGTAAGAAAAAAGATGTGGTAATCTGCTTCCATAAAAATTTCAGCCTTGGAAACCTTCTACTCTGTCCTGTAGAGTCACAGTCAGAATTGACTGGATGGTATCCAGTGGGTAATTCCTCTCAAAATCCTTAATCACATCTACAAGGTTCCTTTGGTCATAGCAAATACTAGAAACAGGAAAACTAATGGAAGGAAAAATCTTTTTAGTAATCAATGAAAAGAGTAATGCATAAGCTTTAGTTTTCAAGGCCTCTATATAACATTGACATGTAAATGACTATGTTCTTTAGTTTCTGCTAAAGATAGCCTACATTGTCATGAATCTAACATTTGCTCTGTAACTCCTGCTGTCTGCTCAGTCTCTTGCCAAGATGGATATTAAAGTAGAAGACGATTGTATACAAGTAACATTTACAGAAAATGGGGGAATGAATGGGGGTGACAGTTGTGTATGAGTTAGTGAGAAGGTGAAACATAAATGCAAATTTGAGAAATCAAGCTGTCCTTGCAAATCTCTGAGTCTAATTGTTTGGAATTGAATCACACCAAGTGCAGTGGGAGTATGTTGTAAATTCTCATGATTTCAATATCGGTTGTGTTATATGATGCTCTTCTACATTATTTATTTTGCTAGATTTACACTAGAAGCCCTCATGGCACAAACAGTTAAGCACTTGAGTTGGCAGATTCAATCTACACAGCTTCTCCAGGAGAAAAAGACTTGTGATCAGTTCCCAGAAAGATTATAGTCAAGAAAAGCCTACAGAGAAGTTCTGCTCTGTCATGTGGCATCATTATCACTCAAAAATGAACTTCATAGCACCTGACAACTACAATTACACTACTGTAAGTGATATTAATTTTAAATACCCCATTATTTTATGCTAAGAGGGAAGGGGAGTATGCGTCTTCACAGGTGACTACCTTATTATTTTTTTTTTTGTTTGTTTTTTTCCCTTTCTCCAAACCTGCTACAATTAACCATAAGATACAAGAACTAGAGGTTACAATGGATGATACAGAGATGCACAAATAAGGTTTCATCAACCTCTGGAGATTCTATATACCATTAGGATCCATCAACTTTGTGGAAAGTTGGCCATCAACTGCCTTATGCATCTTCCCTCTGATGTTTCTGACCTTAAAACTGACATTTTCTGCCCAAAATCCCAGGACTCTCTTTTTCCAAAAATTTTGCTGACAATATGGTTCCCTGATCTTGACCCTTTCACCTGAGAAAAATTCCACACAGCTGGAAAATGTATTTAATAAAGAGTTGCTTAGTGTGACTTTATAAAATCAATACTGGGAGAAGTTTTGAGAAAACTCAAAGACATGTTTGGAGAATGTCTGTAGATTAAAGTCAGGGTACATTAAAAAATTCTTTCTGAGAAGTAGAGAACAATGAGATAAAGTTAATTGTCTGCTATAAGGACAGAAACTTTTTAAAAAAATTTTATTGTGATTTGGATGAAAGTTTACAAAGCAAATTCATTTTCCATGCAGCCGTTCATATATACTTTGTCTAATGACATTGACTACAATTTCCCACAATGCAACAGTTCTCCTCCCACTTCCTCCCCATAGTTACCTCTTTCCTGTGTCCTTCTCTCCCATGTACTTCTGTCCTCCCAGCTGTCTCTCTGTGTATACATAGCCTTTCGATTCTCCCATGATGGATCTTTCCAAGGAGTGTATCTACCTGATGTAGACAGCTCATATGCCTGTCTTTTGTTGGGCTGGAAGCCACAGGAGTGGGTTAATTCTAGACCTGAAGGGCAGTTAAGAGCCATAATCTCAGGGGTTCTACCAGGTTCTATCAGACCAATAAACCTGCTCCTCTTTTTTCTTTTCTTTTATGATTTTGACTTTTGTTCCACATTTTTCTCTCACTCTATCCAGGATCTCCTACAGAGATCTCCCTCCAAGTGGTTGGCAGTGGTAGCCAGGAACCTTCTGGTTCTTCTGGTTTCATAGATATATACCCTGAAGATCACATGGTATACCAATCTCTTGGACTAATTGTCCATGCATCTTTGGTTTTCTTCATTCTTCTTTGCTCTGGATGAGGAGAGACCCATCATTGCATCTAGATGGCTGCTTGCAAGCTTTTAAGATCTCAGTCGCTACTCACCAAAATAGAATGTGGAACAATGTTTTTATGTAGTATGTTATGCCAACTGAGCTTGATGTCCCCTGTGACCATGGTCCTGAGCCCACAGGTCTACTTTCTCATTCCTTCTGGGTAGCTAGCTGTGGCCAACAAATGAGTTCAACCTTGTCCCTAATCAGCTGTACTATATACCTGGACATTCTTACAGGACGTACAAATATACTTGCAGAAATATTGTCTTCCAATCCTATATTTGGTCATAGGCACCCAGCATAGACATATCTAATTGTCCAGCCTGGAGGACAGCAACTTTTAAGAACTATCCCAACAGCTTATCCTAGCTAAATGAGCCTGTTCTATCCTGTCTGAACTAATTTGCTGTTACAAGCACATTGTTGTTTTCAATTCAGTGAAGGATGTATGTATAAACTATAGCCTAAATTTCCAATAACAGATATCTATTCTCCATTTAAAGTAAAATCTTAAAAAAATCCCTTCAGCTTTCACCACAAGTCTATTTAATATGTACAGTACCTATAACAACTATACAGGTTATTCAAACAAAACTTTTAAATGTAGTAGTCATTCCTTCTTTTCTGCATAGACCAAAAATAACTATATTATTCAATAAAGAAGTAAAATAAAATCTATGTGCAAAAGTAAGCAAGTTAAGGATAACTAAAATTTATTTGAGGATAAAATGGAAAAATAAATGTTATAGACTTGACAACGAACAGAATTTACAAGCAAGGCAAAGGAATGTGTATTTTAATCAGTCTTAAAATAAAACTTGTCTTTATTGATATTACACATTAACAGGATTCTTTATAAAAGAGCTCACAGAGAAGTCTTACTTGTTTAGCAAACACTGACCCATGGGGGGAAGTTTATTTTTAGCCTTGTATAAGTCACTGAGTCTCACAGAGATTGCTATGAGTCTTCCAGAAGAAATGCCCCAAACACATCAGATAAGAGGTAGTCATCAGCTTGTGGCCTGGTACAGGCTGTAGTATAGCATCCATCTTTAGGAACCAGTTTTTTCTTTTAATAGTTTAATATTTCATCCTTCCTTTTGAACAATAATATTGTGATAGTCAGGAGCTCTGGTAACATAGTGCCTAAGGCACTTGACTGCTAACCAGAAGGCTGGTGTTTCAAACCCACCAGCCACTCATCAGAAGGAAAGTTGGGCAATCTACTTCCATAGTGATACTGCCTCAGAAACCTAAGGAGGGTTCGATATGAGTCGAGTCAGACTAGATGACAAATAACAACAACATTGCGATAGTCAAATCTTTTGACATTTTTCAAAGTACAAATAATCCCCAATTTAGAACATCTCCATTCTTATGACTTCATTGTAAGTAGAGTTCTGATGTACGCTTTGGTTATGTATTTATTTATTTATAGTTTTTATTATAATTGTCTTTTATCAGTATCTTTATAAATCTGATCTTTATTTATCTCTTGTGTTTAGAGACATTACATTAATCTTACAGATATATTTTAACATTGTATGTAGTGCATATTACTAATGATAAGATGTACCAAGAAAAAGCTCGTCATAAGTGAGGTTTGTTGTCACCTGAATATGTTGCAAATCGGGCACTACCTGTAAAGATGAAGTCTGGCAGTATTTTGCAGTAGTCTAAAGAATGGAAGGAGTCCCTAGGTGGTTAAGTACACAACTGCTAACTGAAAGGTTGATAGTTCAAGCCCCCACTCACCCCACCCAACACCTCAGAAGAAAGCTTAGCAATTTGATTCCAGAAGGTTACAGCATTGTAAACTATGAAGTCATTCTACTCTGCACACATATGGTTACCATGAGTGGGAATCAGCTCTATAGCAACTGGTTTGTTTTAGTTTAAAGAGTGGAAAAGTACAGGTTGCTTGCTTCACTTGAATCCTTGTTAATCTTTTAATAACCATGCTGCAGAAGCCCATAGACACATGAATACTTGTTAATCACTGATTGACAGATGAGAGTTTACCTATTAACATTAAATCACTATTCACTGAACTTATGGACTATAGCTGATGAATGGTGAGTGACGGTCAAGGTGACAATTATAGATACTTTGAAGAATCAAAATAAACTTATTTTATATGAGTGTGAAGACATCAGCAGCTAAACAACACACTAATGAGATGTTACCTTATTATTGTCCCAGGAAATAGGAAGTAAAACAGTCTGGAAAGGCTGTCAACACCCACCAATGAAGATATATAAAGTCCTCAGTCTAATCCCTTCATGCTCACCACCGAGTATACACTCAGGCTCCATGTCTGTTCTGGGCTGTTCTAGGGTTTGCAGTGTCATACCCTGCAGAACTCACTGTTACATCCCTATGAATCCTTCTATTGCTCTTTGTACTAATGATGTCAATCCTGTCTTTGGACTCTGCTTACCCAGTAGCTACCAAGGAAACCTCTGGCTCCTGGATAACTGCCAAGGGTCCTACGTTGAAGCCCCCAGCTGTGAATTACCCAGCTGTGAACTCAAGACCTGCACCACTTGTTGTGAATCATCAAATGCCTGTGTGCCCTGCAACTCTCCATCACCAGGGAAAGAACAAAGTGCTTGTGAAACTCCCAACATCAGAGCCAGCCCCAGCTGCAGCCCATGCCCTCACAAGAAGGGGTATGTATCCAATTACTACATACCCACTCGATATGCATCTAAAACCTGCCAGACCCTTCGCAATGACAACAACTGCTTTGCACAATGTAACTTCTTGTCCAAGAGCCACAGACCCATAAGCTACTGCAGGCTACCCAACTTGGGTTATAGAAACTTCCAAAATCTTGGCTTCATCCCCAGTGGCTTCTCACCATCATGTTACATTGCCAGCAGCTGCCAACCCCAAAGCTATTTAACAAGAAATTTCCAAAATCTGAATTCCAGGACTTTAAGCTGCCGACCACTGAGCTATTTACCTAGAAGCTACAGGTCTCTGAGCTGTATACCTAGTACCTTCCCACCTCTAAGGTATTTGTGCAATGGTATCAAACCTTGGAATTGCTATTGATCAATTAAGTACTTATAGCAGATGGAAATTGCTCAATCAGGCAGATTTATGTTATCTTCTCTAATTTTTTGCTGAACCACTTTATATATCTTAAGAATGATATTAGATTAATGTCAAATAGAACTCCAGGGCTTATTTACAAATGTTCAAATGTTATGGCCTGCTAGGGTTCCTTTTTTTTTTTTTTTCTTTTCTTGCTCTGTTAAAGCCTGTGTTGAAGCCTGATGCTGAAGATCGTATAAATGTTTCTGAGATTGACTAAAATGGATTCACTGACGAGATTCTGTACCAATACAGCCATCACCAGCCTGCTTAAGTAGCAGTCACTATTTCTTGTAGGGCAGCACAGTTATTTCTGACCTTTCCTTGACAAAGTGGAGCCTCCTTGGTTTGACTATGGATTCAAGAACATTCTTTTGAGTGGTTTTGTTTTTACAGTACTTTTGTGAATTGTCTAACTAGCACCTTGGTAATGAACTAAGAAGTACCATTACTTTACTTGAAACATACTGGATGGAGTTATTCCATCCTTTCCCCACTGAGTGATGTTAAGGAAATGTAACTAACAATGCCTGTGTAGCTCAAATAGAAGACCTTCAGCCAATCCTCTCTGCCAAAGAAGCCAACTATAAAATGACCGATCCTCAGCATTTGTTCTCGTTGCCTTGGAGAAAACCCCCAAAATTGCAGAACAACAAAAATTATTTGTTGAAAGATTAACAGAATGGTTTTATGGACTCTGAAGTTAGAGATACTTGATTTTTAGGCTCTTTCTATAATCCTTCTCTGTTGAATTAGTGCTTCTGGAAAATTATTTCATAGTTAATAAAAACATTTTTATCTGGAATTCATAGTTTTTGTTATGTATTATTTCATATTCATTAAAAGTTTATCAGTGTTGTGGGCAACAGGGGCAACATTGTCAAAAGACTAGTTTCTTGCCAGTTTATTGTCTAGATAAAATATATCAGGAGAGTAGAATATAAAATCCTAGGAATTTTATTTGTTTCATTCTGCTCTGATACATTAAATAGTATCTTCCTTTGAGAATCTGTGGTTGATATAGGCATATTGGGAGAATATATTTATGAAAAATCAATTATAATCATAAATAAATAAATAAATAATCAAAAGAAAAAAATCAATTTAATAAAAATAATATAATGTTACATATAGATTAGATATATAAGTACTATGTAGGAATATACATATATATTCCTCCACAGTATTTATACTTGCTTGTTTTATAAATAAGGTTTGACCTTTGAAATCATTTTAATAGTGAAATACCATGAGAGTGATTTAACAAAGTTCTCATCTAAGAAATAACTATCTCAGTGGTAAAAATAACATCGACCCTAATTTTTCTTATAACCAAAAAAGCAAATTGTGTTTATAGTGTAATGAAATGACCATCAAATGAATAGGTGCAGCTAGAGATTGGCAGGAAGGGATGCACCCCGATATCATAGTCAATGTGTAAAATTAAAATTCATGGAACATAGCAATGAAAATAGCATTTCATTTATTCACTCTGTAGTCCTACTTTGTATATGAAAGTCATGTAAGAGTAATATTAATTCAGTACTTCTTGATTATGTTTGGGAATAACCAAGTCACTTCAGTGTGAGCTCACCGAATTTTCAGAGAATTGTTTGTTGAAAATTTATTTTTATACAGGCAGTCCCCGAATTACAAACAAGTTCCATTCTTAACTGTGTCTTTAAATTGAATCTGTAGGTATGTTGGAACAGATGCATAAGTTTCTTATTCAGCTTTACTACAGTGAAAGAAAAAGTAGTTCTGGTATTACAGTGCTTAAAATATCCTCTGCTAACAAAAAGTCAGCAGTTAGAACCCACCAGCTATTCCAAGGGAGAAAGATGAGGCAATCTGTCTCCATAAAGATTTAGAGCCTTGGACACTCTATAGGGTAGCCCTACTCTGTACTACAGGGTCTATAAGAGTTGGAATTGAATACACCAGTGGATTTGGTTTTTGTTTAGAACAAGAAAAGGCTTGGAATCTTTTCAATGATTTAAAAGTTGCATATGCAGCAGATGAAGTGAGTGTGATGAAGAACTTTTTTGTGAGTAAGAATTGGTTCAATCATTTTAAAGTGAGGGAAAATTTACATAACATTAAAGGGCAAGTCCAAGTTGTCCATAAGTCAGACGTTCATAACCCAGAGACTGCTTGCATTGAGAAAAAAGCAATTACCTTTAACTATGACTCATAGATAATATAGAACTAGTTAATAGTCTAATATGTGGCAAGTGTTCAAGTATTGGAAAATAATTACTTTGTGTCCCAACTGAGTATTCAGTTGTCCAAACTGAACATACATATATTCACTTGACAAACTTTAATGGAAAACTCATTCCTTGAGACATTGAATAAGACTCTATGGGGATATCAAGATTTATAGACCCTGTTTCCAAGAACTATACAGAGGAGTAATATACAGAAAATAAAATAAAATACTTTCTCAACCATTTTCAGTATAATACAAGAGCTTCAAAAGGAAGGAAATAAGACTATTTCAAACTGGAAAAAAGAGATAAAAAAAAAAGACATTTGAATGATGCCTGAATAATGAGGTGACTTGTTATTGTTGTTGTTATTTGCCGTCTAGTCGGCCCCGACTCATAGCGACCCCTCCTTGGGTTTCCAAGGCAGTATCACTATGGAAGTAGGATTGCCCAAATGAGGTGACTAGAGGATGAATATTCAATGATAAGAACAGGAATGGGGGTGCTAGGTAATTTAAAATGAGGTATAGATTTAATTTGACCTGACAAGGTAAACATAAGCATAAAACATAAGTGAAAAATTTGGGGAAATATGTAGACCGTTATATTAAAGATCTTTATTAGGAAAGACCATTTAAATAAGAATAAACACACAAAAATATAATAGTTACAAAATAAAAGATTTGTAAATTAGTTTTACATCAAAAAAAGATCCTGATAATAGAAGGTATCATGAGAAAAATCAAAAATAAGGCAAGACTAAGAGAAAATATGTGCAATATATATATAATGAAATTGCAATTTAGCCTTATAAGAACTATTACAAATAAAAAAGAAAATGAAAAAGGATTCAATAGAAAAATACAAAATATCAGCAGGCAATTAATCAGTAGTCAACAACAAGCAGTCAATAAACATATGAAAAGTTTCCTTAGTAATTTATTTTTGTTGTTAGGGGCTGTCAAGTTAAGTCAGTTCCAAGTCACACACAACAGAATGACCCTGTGCACAACAGAACAAAACACTGCCTGGTGCCGCCCCTTCCTCAAAACTGTTGCTATATTTAAGCCCATTATTGTAGCTACTGTGTAAATCTATCTCTTTGCAGTTCCTAATCTTTTTCACTGATCTTCTATTTTACCAAGCATGATGCCCTTCTCCAGGGGCTGTTCCTTCCTCATAATATGTCCAAAGTACATGAGACAAAGTCTAGCCATTCTCATTTCTCAGGAGCATGCTAACTATCATTTTTCTGAGACAGATTGGTTTTTCTAGCAGTCCACATGTACATTCAATATTATTTGTCAATACCACAATTCATATGTATCCATTCTTCTTCATTCTTACTTATTTCCTGTCCAGTTGTACATGCAAATGAGGCGATTAAAAAGACCATGGCTTGGGTCTTCAAAAATGACATCTTTAGTCAGTTATTCCTCAAAGGGACATCTTTGCTTTAAAAAAGAAAGAAAGAAAGAAAAAGAAAACTTTTGAAGGTCTTTTGTAGGATACTTGCCCACTTAAAGATGGCATTTGATTTCCTGACTGTTATTTTCACGGACATTGATTGTAGATCTAGGTAATATTATATCCTCCAACATTTTCTCCATTTATCATGATATTGCTTACTAGTCCATTGTGAAGACTTCTGTTGTTTTTTTATTTTATTTTATTTTATTTTTATTTTGAGGTGTAACCCATACAAAAGACTGTGATCTCTGCCTTCATCAGTAATCTTCACTTTCCCAAGCAAGTTTGTGTCATCTGCATATCACAAGTTGTTACTGAGTCTTCTTCCAATCCTGATGCCATGTTCTGCTTCATCATATAGGCCAGTTTCTAAGATTATTTTCTCAACATCATGTTGAAAACACTGAATAAGTATGGTGAAATGTTTAAACCCTGACACACACCTTTCTTGATACTATACCAGGTCTGATTTTAAACACTACCCGATTTTATCTCCTTTTTCTGTTCAAATGACTGCCTTTTGGTCTATGTACAGATTCCACATGAGCATAAGTAAGTGTCTTGACTTCCCATTCCCTGCAATGTTATCCATAATTTGTTATGATATATACAGTCAAATACCTTTGCATATTCAATTAAAAAAAAAAAAAAGGGTAAACGTCTTTCTAGTATTCTCTTCTTTCAGCCAATATATATCTGACATTAGCTACAATACCTCTTGTTCCACACTTACAAATCTGGCTTTTATTTCTGCCAATTTCAAGCAGTCTATGTACTGCTGCACCATTTTAAAATTATCTTTAGCATAATTTTACTTAAATGTGATATTAATGATATTGTTCAATAATTTCCTCATTCTGTTTGATCACATTTCTTAGGATTACCTATGTGTATGGTTCTCTTCCAGTTGGTTAGCCAGGTAGCTGTCTTCCAAATTTCTTGGCATAAATGAGTGAGCACTTCTAGTGTTGCAACTGTTTGTTGAAACATCTCAGTTGGTATTTCATTAATTCCTGAAACCTTGTTTTCCACCAGTGTCTTCAATGCAGTTTGGACTTCTACCTCAGTACCATTAACTCTTAGTCAAATGCTATATCCTGAAATGTTTGAAAACCCGTTATTTTTGGTACAGTGACTCTGTATTCCTTCCATCTTCTTCTTCTTCTTCTTCTTCTTCTTTAT